TGGCGCCTTTGCCGGTGCGTGCTCCGTCTGGGCCTGTCGCCCCTCCTTCGTGAACGCTGCCTTTCTCCTGTCCGGTGTTTTTCGTTAGTCCCCCCCCCCCCCCCCCTCCGACGCGCGGTCTGTGTTTTTCCGGGAGTGGTACTCGGCTGGCTTGCGGGGGGCGGATGATGGGGTGTTTTTAGTGTTGGTGGCAGCAGCCGCCTGATTGGGCCGGCCTAGAAAGTTGCAACCTGTTGCATAGTTTGAGATCCGAACGCCTGCTCGTTCCAGGCGGTTTTGCGTGCCTGCTTGTTAAAATCTGGAAACAAGTACCGTACGCCACTATATTAGCGCACGGAGGTGGAGTGTAGTTCCGCGGGATCTCGATCGGAGAATAGTCAAGGTTGTTTTGACGTACATGGTTGCTTTAAATGGGTAGGAGGAAAGAAGAGGTGACGATGTGTGTTATATTCTACCTGGTACTTTATCTTGACTGGTTCACCTTGTAATATATCTAGAAGACACATTCATGCACGTGGAGTACTTCAATGCGTTGGCAGTTCATGAGGTAGCTCACCCTTGTTCAATATCTATGCACACACACACGTTTGCACGTGGAGTGCTACAACGAGCTAAGTAGCGTTTTTTTGTGCTGCGGTTCTTGGTAGGGGTCTATTGGTGGCGATGGGGACGTCCGTCCGGAGTGCCATGCACAAACACAGCATGTCGTCATTTTCAGGCCTTGCGCAGACACCCCCTCCTCGTTTCACGGAATGTGCTATCGTTCGGGGACTTGATTCTATTGCCGTGGGTGGCATAAGATATCACTCACATTCCCGGGATTGTTTTTTCAAAAGCTCGATTACTCCACGACGAATTTGGATGTGTGTACAACGAAACGATACGTTTTCGGAAAGCTCTCGACGAGACGGTTCTATCGACGCCGTTTTCGACGCCGCCACTGTTTCTGCCATGGATAAGTCGAGCTTGAGAAACCGCCCCAGTGGGTGTGATATCTTGTGTCACCTACGGTGATAGTTTGGCCCGGGGGGAGGGCTGATTGTACGCTTTCCGATGAACCGAGCTCCTGGCGGCCCTGCCCTACCCTACTACCACAAGTCTCAGTCGCCTCCACCCCGTGCTACCAATTCAAAGAAGATGAACATAGGGTGCTCGTGTTGTGTAGCATCAGGGTGCGCAGCGCAATTTGCAGCAGCAGCATTCTCATGGTCGCTGGCGACACTCCTCGCGTTGCCGTGTGTCAATCCCTTCAATGCGTGCAACGAACATCCTTCAGACTACATGTACTAGCTTTTCAAGAGTACGTGACATGTGCATGTATTTAGTGCTGCACGCCGGCCTATCTCTCTTCGCGCCCATTTGTATGAGGCCAGCCTAGATACCACGGCAGCTTTCGCTTGTGTTTTTTCACGCGAAAAATACCGTAAAAACCACGCCCGAGAAAAATCGCGGGACGGGACGATCGGACTGGCCAGTGGGACGAGAGTCGAAAGTTCGATACCCGGTGGCACCGCACTACTGTAGACTAAACCCATCTCTGGCAAAGCATCTAGCTACCACATGGTTGAAGAGTTGGCATGCTTTTCGTGAGACCCAAGCCTCAAAAAACAATTTTCCGTCCATAAGTTTTCGGCTCGCAACCGCCGTACAGCTAGAGATGAGATAGATTACACGGCGATTATTAGACGGCGCGAGCGGTTTCTCTCCCATGTACTTCGGCGAAGGATTGCTATTTTATGTGCCTCTGGTTCCTGTCGAGTTGTTTGCTCGATCCACCTTTCGGTGTATCCTGCGGACAGACCTCCCTCCTACGGGACGGAGTGGAATTCCGGTGCCTAAACTGGAACTGGAAGCTCCAGTGGTTTGTCTTCTTTTTCCTCAACACCCATGCGTCCTCCAAGATAGCTTGTGCTATACCCGCGTCATGCATGGTGCCGTGAATGTAGCGGTCCGATGCTTGCCGTCTCGCTATTTCTCTCTTCGCAAAGACCCTCTTGCCCCCCCTCCTCCTGCGCACCCCGCGCGCGAGCCCGCCGCCTTGGCTAAATCTTACCCTGCTTTCTCGTCTGCTCTTTCCTTGGTGCGTGTTCTCGGTTGGGTTGTGCTGTTCCTCCCCCCCCCCCCCCCGTTTTGTTTTGCAGGAGGATGACGGGCAGAAGCTCAGGCGCGAGAAGGCCCTTCGTCTTGCCAAAGCAGGTCTGTTCGTAGGTGCGAATAAAAAAGAGAAGCCACTCCTCTTCGGCAACGTTGCTGTCTCGTGGTCGTTTGTTTGCCCTTCCGGGGGGGGGTAGTTTTTGTCTGCTGCAGGTGTGGGCGGTAAGAACGAGAGCGTCAGGCCGTCTCGCCCCCCTGTACGTACGTTTTGGCAGCGGGAATGTGAAACGTGAAAATAGACCCCGTGAAAAGCGGCTTCCCGCCAAAGACTTGCTACCGCAAAGCTGCGTTTGCAACCGAGTATCACTGCAACTCCGCAGCAGGGGCGGGGTCGCTGGTGTTCCAGCTAGCCGGGTAGATGGACGGTTGCATTGGTGTGCTTTCGGCTGCGTAGCTGTATTGTTGTGGGTGTCGTTCAACAACGCGCTTGCCCTGGCCTCATCCTGCCCTCTGCTCGACTTGGACATTGCAGCACCGGCGCTGGCCCAGGCGAAGCGGAACAACGTGGCGAAGCAGAGGATATTGGGGTTGCTCAACAAGGCACGTATTAGTGTGGTAGATTTGAGTCTTGACGCAAACTTGAAAATGATCCCTTGCTGTTTTGTTGAGTTTCATGGTGGTGGTGGTCGTTGCTATCGGCTGTTGCAGAGGCAGCCTGCATCTTGTCAAAAAGCGTCCTCCTGTGTTGCACACTTGTGCATAGCTACTCGAGGCCTTCCTCGCCTCTCTTGGGTGTCACTTGTGCATGGAGGAGGACGAGTAATAAAAAGATAGGTAAGACCATTACGTGGTTTCGGCGATGTGCTCGTACGTTAATAGCGATTTTTTCGGTTTCAGCGTGTGCATGCCTACATCGGCACAATTTTTACAAGCGTCCGCAAGCGGTTCATAGGGAACACAACGACCAACATATCACATTCTCAACGGCACACCAACGAAGCTCTCATCTCAATATTTAGGTTTGGGATTAGGATCCTTCGTGGGTGTTGAGGAAAAAAAATAGCCGGATATCTGCAGCGTTTCCACGTCCTGTGGTCTGCAGGACCTCCAGAGAGAACGCAAGAATCAACGCTGCAGGCTCGCGAACATTGTCTACAACGGTGCCTAAATGACGCGACCACTACTGCTGTATGTCCTCTCTAGTTTTTTCGGGGCTGATTGTTTGTTTCTTGTCGTTTTTTTGTACCTTTTAAACAAGCAGATGGACAGCGAGACCCTCGCGGCGTTCGGCAGCGAGGTCGGGGTTGAGAATGGGCCGGCAGAATTCACCGCGCTCCGGACGACCATCATCAAGAAGCTCGAGGAGAGGGAGGGGGCTTGGGCCGAGATCGCGCCCGACGTGGCCACCATCGCGAGCAAGTTCGCGAAGCCAGCGTAAAGCTAACCAAGGCGAAGAAGACGACAAGGGGGGAAGGGGGCGTACTCATAGTCGTGCATGCCGTAGTCGTTAGACCATTGACCCCGCATCCCTACAAAGCCGGGACGGAGCACGCCGGGTTTCTCACCGGACCATGCTCTCACATCACCAAGCGCGAAGCCCAATGAGTTCTTTCCGACAGGGGAGAGAAGGCAAAAACGCTTGCTTGGCTGGCGGTCTTCTCTGTTTTATTTGTTTGGCGGGTGGTGGGCAGTGTGGTGTGGAACAACAGCAGCGCAGCAAAGGGGAGTCTGCCCTAGCCAGGCCGATCGACAGCGGGTCTCTTGCCTGTCCTTAGTAGAGCTAAGATCACTCCAACCGGCTGCCGATGATGAGAATGTGTTAGTCGTAAAGCTTCCCCCCTCCCCCGGAAAATAGGATTAGGGTCTTCCTAAATGCGTGACAGGCTGTGGTTGTCACGTCTGCTTCTAGAAGGGCGAAACAATCAACGTCGAGAAAGTTTGTTGTTCCTGAGTTAGTTAACGACGAGTATGAGGGATGGGAGTGCCATGACAGTGGGAAAGCATCGGGTGGGGGGGCGGGCTATTTCTCTTCTTTTTTTTTTGTGTAAGTTTGACCTGCTTTTGAGTCAACAGGCTCTGCTGGGAACCAATCAGGGCTACATCCCTTCTTTTCTCTTCGTTGTACGAGAAGACTTCCCTGCCCCCCCCCCCCCCGAGGTTTAGCTTAAGTAGAGAGGCCGGCTGCTGAAGAAGGGATCATTTTCGTTTGTGTAGGAGGTACCGGTCCATCGATGAGGGGTATGCTTGTGTTTCATGTCCCTCGCGGGGAGCACTCGTAGAGATGTGCCTGTTTTCGGCCGCCGTGGTGCCAAGGTTGAGCAACCAGGGAGATGATGGAAATCAAGCGCACGAAAAGGGGATGGCGGTGAAAGAACAACCCCACCGCCCCTGCGGACACGTTTTTTTTTGTCGATGCTCGCCAACCGAGTCATGTCGTGTGTTGGTAGAACGTATCCGGCCCGCTGGGCGCGGAATCGCAACGGTTTCGCCTTGTTTGTTGCGCGCGCATGATGATCTTGTTTTCTTCCATCTTGTGTGTTGCAAGGTGCAGTCATGGTGTTGATGGCAGTATCCCTCTTCCCGATCCACGAGCTTTTTTTCCTTTTGTGTTGCGATAAGCACGAGTCTAGATTGTGGGGTTACGAAACGAACGTTGGAGTTTGTGGGTGATGATGGCGAAGAAAATGCGTTTTGTGTAGTGGTGACGAGGCATGCATGCGGTATAGGTTCCACCAACCGGTCAATATATTTATGTTGTTAGAGATTACACGCCGCTGGATGTTGTTCGTGGTCGAGGGCGGGGGTAATAAAATATATTTTTTGCTCCTTCAGATTAGTTCCAGTAGATTTTTGTGCCGCACTTCTGAAACAAGCCATCAAAATTCTGAAACAAGCTATCAAACCGAAAAAAAACATCGTTGGCTTCTCTTGCACGGCTCGCTCGGAAGTCGATGCGGATTTCAATTCAGGCCAGAAGAAGGGCGACGATCTCCGTCATCTCCGGCAAGGAAATGGCCGTGTCTGGATCCGCTTGCAGCTCCTCCAGAAGTGCGTGAACCTGCGCCGCAGTCCGCACCATCCACCCGTGATGGCGATCACAACCGACAAGACACATGTAGGAAGGGCACGAGAAAAGGGGGGGGGGGGGGGCGTACTCCCATATTCTGCATGCCCTAACGGTTTGAACATTGACCAAGCGTTCTCGAGAGGACGGAGCGTTGTTCCCACAGGACCGATCGCCGATGGGTAATCGTTCCTTCCTACTTTGCTAAAGGGGGCCCAATAGTGGTTTCCCTAGCCCATCTATCCTATCGATATAATTTCCCGCCTGTTAACCCACTTTCTACGCCCCAGTACAGCTAGAACGGGGGGTGGGATGAATTGGCGGCGGTCCGTTCGTGATGAGAGACATTCGCCGGGAAAACCCAACGCGATACGCCAGCAACGGTGATCGAAAATACAACCATCAACAGCAGCAGCATGAATAGCGAAGGCCCCCGTGCCAACTTGTTTTACCACAACGCTACCGTTGTTTTTTTGTACCGTATATGTACGTGGGTGCAATCAAGGGTACACGCGGAAAAAAATCCGGACACGTAGGCCACCCCCCACCCCCCCCGAAGGAGGAGGAAATTCGAAAAGTTACCATGAATCGTCGAAATTTACTATGAGAGGTTGCAGTAGTAGATGGACCACAAACGTACCTCACGCTCGTTACCCGTGCCATACCCCAAGAGCAGCCGCTACTATTATAGCCCGCCAGTCGCCCGTGTGGCCTATTGGTCCAGTAAAAAAAAAAACTACACAAGAAGACCAAGGCTACGAGTAGATTTGCGAGACTATGTTCCCTGTTGTGCAGTGCTAGAGGAGGCGGCAAGGGAAAAAGCTTGCAAGGCAGGTGGTTCAATGTGAAAGCTGGTTAATGACCTGTTCCAATTGAATTGGAATGATTTCGAGCTTTGATCGATGCTACTATAGTATGTACTGTAACTAAGTGTTTGCACTACTACTTCTGTACTCTCTTAGTAGATATTAGACGCTACGCGAACTAGGCTGCTTGTTTCCGTGTGTTCCTGTAGTAGCACGGCTGGGTGAATATGGGCCGCGGCATGGATGACGAGGAGGTAGAGGCTGTTCTTTGAAGCTACCATCAAGATCGACTGATGACGCAAAAACGCAACACTTTGAAACGCCACATAGACACAAGTCGAAGAAGGGGCCACGCTACAGGAGGGATAACGAATACCACTCCATAACAGCAGTACGTGTGAATACCTCCTGTGAATACCTTGGAATACCTTTCTTTTCGGGATGGCGACGTATAGGCGAAACGTGAAGCGGAACCATCTACTTGTGTGAAGAGTTCATTTACGTCTGAAGGACTGCGTTTGAAGGGGGCATGCCGTAGTTTGCGTTGGAAACTTGGGGTCACCAGAGGAAAAACAAAATGGACATTCGAAACCTTGCTCACATTCCGTGGAAAAGAGTGCGTACCAAGCTGTAGGGAAGCCGCGTGTGAGAGCAACAAAAATCCGCAGCAGAGCAACTTGAAAGAGAAGGAATGACAGCAGTACCAGTCATCTGTCGACAGCGCGCTAATACATGATGGTAGCATTTAGAGAGAACAAATATATCTCAAAAAGAGGTTAACCACGCACCTCTTCGGGTTCGATATCGGTAATCCCGGCGTGCTCCAAAATGTCCACGAGCGCCAAGACAGAGACCAGGCCCTCTCCGGACTGATCGAACGTCGCGAAGCTCTCGCGGAGGGTGTCCTATTTTTCGTTTGTTTTCGCCGCAAAGGCGAACACAACCGAGCGTGTTGCGAAATCCCACGCAAGGAGGGAATAAAGAGGCACAAATGGAAGAAGACCTTAGAGTGGTATCTTTCTTTTGCCTGGGCTGACCAAGGCAGGTCAACACGCGACAAGCATGACGGGCTTATCAGAACACATGTAGCATCGGCAGATATTCCACCTCATGGTTTTCGCCAACACCTCTTCCCTCGCGGCTTCGCCTTCCTCAACCAATCGAGGAGACAATACCTCAGGTTCGGGGGATCGCCCGGGAACCTACCAGTGCGACAATTGCTATCCCAGAGCATAGCATCATCTATCAGCGTACTCCACCGAACTGCAAAATTGTTTGATTGAGATGCAACAACAGCTGTGTCACCGTAGCACGTTCTTTACCATCTCATCGGTAGTGAACACCCTGCCAGGCTGGCTGTGGCGTTTGGCCCGCTCGTTCCGGATGACCGCCACGGCCTCGTTCAGCACGGCGCTGGAGCGCTTGAGGGTCAGCTCCGGCAGCGGGAAGCTGCCGTCCGGTACGGAGCGGTCCACGAGCGCCTGGTCAAATCGTACCGCGGCCTTGGTTAAAGGATGAAAAGCAAGAGGAGATGAACTCCCCCTCCGTTCTCTCGATTAAGAGATGTAGGGACGTAGGGAAAGCCGGCAGTTAACCCAATGACTGTCGTCGAGAAACAACCTGTGCTATTATTGCTACAAAAGTTGTCCGTTGTCCTCGCACGGGATGCATCAGTGTTGATCGATATTCTTCCCTGTGCGAATCGGATTCCTCGTTTTGTGGTAGGGTCAAAGAACATGAGGTTCTTGGGGCTAAACCTTCGGCCGTTGTGTTGATCTAAGAGATGTTTCGAGCATACTTCAACCTCGGGGGCGCAAAACAAACAATTTTGAGAAAACTCCTTGTTCGATGCGATGCGATGCAATCGTTGTTGCTACTGCGGTTTTGTTTTGCCTTACCGCGGGCATGTCTTGATATTCCCCGCACTTTGGCGTCCCTTCGACCCACTCCCCCTCGTAGACTTTGCGGGTCGACATGTACAGATATCGTCCTGCGGGAAAAAGAAAAAACCAGACACAGCCAAACGCCGGCACAGACCAGACAAGTTGTCTGGAGCACGTGGTTGCTTGTTTCTTCGTGATTGACTTGTAGTCGCTGTTGTTTCTTCGTGATTAATAATATCGGTGTCATGTATTTGATATTATTTTCATCGGAGACTCGGGTATCACGCGCCGACACCAAGGACGTTGAAGGTGGTTGCTGAGGTTTAGCTCACTTCTTAACATCACAGACAACATGACAGGCAACCATGACCGAGAAATACGCCACGGGCTAATTTCAGGTATGGGATATGTTTCGAGCATGCACGCCGTGAAGCTGAACAACTTCCACCATCTCGCTCTACACAAACACGCAAACAGGCGGAAAGGTAGCGACAACAAAGGAATGTAGCAGGCGTTTTTTCGTTCCCTGCGGGGCAATTATTCGAATCCATATCTGTCCTTCCGTTGACCCTTAGAATGTCTACACTTTTCCACAAAACCTCAACCCAACCTTAGAATACGGTAAGGCCCTGCGCATTATTAATAGTAGCGGCAACAGAGGTTGCAGAAGATGCAAAAAGGTCACGAAAAGTATGTCTCACCCGAGCATGCGCGCGTCAAGATCGATCCACTACATCTAGTCGCCCACACGACAGTACCTACGCACCTGCTGCTGTTCTCACAAAGCGGCTGCTTCTACTGCTATGCATCTAATGCTGCTGCCCCTGCCTCTACTTCCAACGACCCCTCTTCTATCTACAACGTTGCTCCCACCTCTCGTAGATTTTGCAACATTCTTGATGAGCAAGCGCGAATCTCTTTCGCCTCTCACCGGGACCTTCCTTCTTGTCCTTCAGCCAGAGGCCCTCGAAGATATCTCCTCCAGGGAGGCGCAACGACCCGGTCCCGCTCCTCTGCCCGTCCAGCCACCCGCCGTCATATACCTGAGGAGCAAATAACGAGGACAAGAACATTGCAACATTTTTGGCGGGGCAAACGAGGAACGGTGAAACCAAAGCCTGCGATTTTTGTTTTGGCGTAAAATCCCAATCCACCGAAGATCCAAATACAAAAAAATATGAAAATATGGATGAAAAATTTACAGAGGGAGTAAACCAAACCAAGGGTTTTGCCCACGAACAATTCTGCTACATAGTTTAACCTAGAGAACCGTCGTAAGGGCCTCACGCACCCACCGTTCCGGCCTCAGTTTGCTCTTCCTTGGCATGCACTTGTCTAGAGCAGAGTGTTTGTGCTCGACCACTGTCTACCCTTGGTTTCTTCTTGTGTAGTACCAAGCACCGATGCCCCAACCGAGCAAGAACAGCGAAGAAGATGCTAAGCTACACAAGCTTCCAAATGAAAAGCGACCTAGCACCACAAACTTGTGGCTTGTGCGAGGGTTGCAACAGCACCATGGTAGTAGCGCGACCTTATCTTGCCTCTCCATTGGCGAAAGACAATCTTCCCTGGCCGCTGCGGCGGTTTGCCACCCAGCCCCCCTCGTACCTTCCCCCATCTGCGTAGAAGAAGACGCCCAATCCATCTCGCTGGTCATCTGCAAACCCAACAACAGGACGGCCGTCGAAAACGAACGCCGCGTTGGTACGTTAGATGATGGGACAACGGCAACGCGATACCTCCAACTCGGCGTCTTCCGCCCATGTCAACGGTAGGACGGTGTTCGAGACGGTACGGCAAAGAAGGCAAAAAAAACACCTCCACCCCGTATCCGCTGGTCACCTTTCCAATCTCCGGCGTACTGTTTGCGTAACTTGCCGGATTCGTTTACCCAGTAGGTGCCTTTGCCGTGCCTCCGGTCACGTTCCCATTCCTGCCGCAATGTTGTTGTCATGACGTATGGAGTGCACGCACGTACTGCATCTGTTGGATTCTCTGCAGAGTCCAGCAGGGACTACACTGCTGTTGAATGACAGGAGAAAACTGGGCAAACCAGAAAATACACCCGGTCGATCTCCTAGATGATGCGGGCGGCGCTTCCACCTTTCCTTTGACCATCGAAGGCTCTACCTAGCCTATGGTCTTGGCGCGGGAGCTCCAACCCGAGATTACCAATTTGTTTTTTGCAAGGTGTACATGACATCGCGGAAGAATTACCCACCCGAGGTTTTCTTGAAAATCATTCCTGGACCGAGGTGCGTAGTGACGTGCTCCTCAACGGTAAAGCAGACTATCAAGCAGACTTGACAATGCGGACAGACGCTAGGGGGTCTTGCTTACCCCCTCGTACTTGTTGCCGTTGACCCAAGAGCGAGTGCCATAGCCATGCTTCATGTTGTCCTGCCATTCCCCTTGGTACTTTCCACCCGTCTTGTATTGCGGCTGGGAGCTGGTGTGGTAGAAGCGCATGTCCGCCTTTGTGGGCACGTGGGGAGTAGGCGCAGGGGGGTAGTTATCATTGGTGTCGAAGCGACAGCAATATATCCTCTGTAATATTGATTCAAACATCAAGCTCTTAAAACGCGACGTGCGAAGGCCTAGGGACTCTCATTTCTAGTACCAGCTTCACCGTTCATCGTGCTGTGCTTGCTGTCTACTACCTAACGTAGACGAGACGAGCGAAAGCGTGTGCGCCGGCAGCCGCGTCGCGAGCCTCTTACCTCGTACTTCTTGTTCGAAAGGACCCCGAACACCGTCTTATGGGGACCGTTTTTCTCCGACAGGCGCTCCCGCATGGTGTGGGTCATCATCCTCGGTGGCTCCTCCTCTTCCTCTTCCTCCTCCCCTGCATACCTGCCATCTGTTCCAAATTCGCTCGCCATTTTTGTATGTCTGCCACCCTGAAGATGCTTCACTATTTCAGTTTCTCTTGACAGCCCCGAATAGACTGGTGATAGGGAGTAGGGGTTTGTGGGCCAGGTTTAGGTAGGGATAGTCAGGTGACCGTGACCGTCAAGGTCCAAAGAGGGACGCTAGCTCACACATGACAATATTTCGGGTCTATACTGAACGGACGGTTTCATGAAAAAAAGGGAATTAGACCGCATATTTAACCCGAAAGGGCATCTGAACCATTCTGTCCAAAAGACAGCTGCCCTCGCAGGTCGCCACGTCACACATGTCGCATTCCTTCACCAAAGACCTACCGGCAAGCTGGCAAGCGAATTCGACTAGTAGTGCAAGCATCAAGGCAAGTTGTACGGCGTGCACAACAACATCATGGGGCGCTTCTCGACCACGGTTTTGGCATCGACAGCGGTTTCCATGCTAACGCAGGACGTCAACGCCTTCTTGGCGGTTCCCTCGACAGCACCACAAGGTAAGGAGCGCCGATGATGTTGAGAGGCAGGAACTTACACAGAGTCGCTCTACTTCAAGTATGTTTTTGGGTAAGTTGATTCCGGCCTTAGCGACCGGGGACGACTTGGTTCCGTGTGCTTGATTGCCGAAGACACGGGGGCACACAACAGTGTCTCTTGACATCATCGCATCAACAGAACCACACAATTGACCCTCTCGCGCAACCGTCCACTTGGCCGCTCACGGCTCACCCTGCCGTGTGTTTCATCACTCCTGCCGATGTGCTCTCTACTTCAACAGCAGTATGGCCAGCACCATCCTCGTCATCCATCCGGAGATGGAACAACCGGTCCAGGCCTCGAGCTTGGATGTCTGAGGGCAGCGGGGCGCCCGCGACTACCAGGAGAGACATGTTCCAGGTGGCAGGAGCGGCGCTCGCTGCCACTGTGAGCCTGACAGCAGTGCCGGTGACGAGGTCGGCCGGGGCCGCCGTCACGGAGGGCGGTGAGACCAAGATTCTGGACACAATCACGTCCCGTTGTTGTGTTTGACTTGCCGTCGAGAGAAGTGTGCATACCTGGAATGTTCTCTGGGCACTGCCCACCGTCCTACATGCTAGCTGATCTGCACTGTTAGTTCGACGTTTGGGGGATGTTGTGCAGCAGCAGCAGTGGCGTCGCTGATACGCTTGTTTGTCCTACACTCACATTAGTCCACCCGCACGAGGTAACGACACTGCATATACAGCAATCTAGTATTCAAAATAAACCCAGAGCAAGTTTTTCGAAGTTGTTCCTGCATGCCAGCCAGCATGCCGCAAGCAGGCTCTCATGAACTGCTGCGTTGTTCGTTTGCTGTTCACGCTCACGTCGTTTAGGGGTGCATTTTCTCGTAGAACGGCGCAACAAGAGTCTTGTTCTCGCGCCGATCCTGGCGGACTAACCCGCGGTTTCTGCGAGGGTGTAGATACATGCGGTTCCTCGATCGCCTCACTTATTTCTTCCCATACACCCTGCTCGTGGTACTTCACTAGTCTACCTGGTACACATCTTGCCCCGCGTCGCCCAAGCAGTTCCAGTGGACCAATACATCTGTGCCAGCTGGGTTGGCCGCATAATTTTCGAGCTCGGTTTAAAACTCCGCATCGTTGCTACTATAATGCTGTCAAGACCTGATGACGCGAGATGAAGCGGAGTCCCATTGGACCTATGGTCAATTTTGTATCGCGATGCCACCCGCTCTTGAACCACACCTGTGCTGGCGCCAACACCAACACACAGCGAAGTGTACGTCCCACCGCACTCGCTAAACAGACAAGAACCACCCTCTTTCGGCTGCTGAACCATCCCAAAAAACGTACGACCTGCCCGGTCACCTAAGATTGTTCTCGTAGATTGTGACGTGTCCGATGACGGCCGTCGGAGATGTACCTGTCTTCGGGCTGTTGACATAGATAGAGCCAGTGGATACGCTGAACCACCGCGTACAGGTAAAGCGGGCCAGCTGCCCCGTTCTCTCTCACGAGGGGTTGAACCTGGTGTGTCCTCAACACCACACCCCCCAAATGACGTGTAAGGCATACAAGGGACCCCTCTGGAGTGGGCTCATGAGAGCGCAGCAGTGTCGTCATGGGGGCGATGCAAGATGACAATAAAAGCAGAAGCCAGCCCACAGCTGGCTGCCAGCTGCCAGTAGTGACGCTTCCCAAGCTCAACAGCTTACCTCATGCAGCTGACGTATTATCAATCGAAGAGCCCAGCGAATACCAACGAATCAATAAGAATGATTTGCAATTCTACTTACAATCTCAATGACGTTTCCCAACAGCTCACACAGCTGACCGTGTTCTCTCACTCGAAGAGTACAGCGAACCCCAACGAACAAACATTTACAAATCAAGATTCTCCAGCCCAGATGGATACGGTCACACCCTTTCCATCCACCGCGCGCCTTTTATTGTTTCGCCGGCGTTGTTTTGGCCGCAGACCGGAAGGGGGTCGAGCAGACCACCATACGGTGGAAGGAAACGGTGACGCTGGGCACGCCGGACGCGCCTAGGAAGACGGCGGATCTCTACGCCGTGGACGGCGTGCTTTGGGGGACCGTGTCCGAGGAGGTCCGGGACACGCCGGAGGAGATCTACGATTACTTCGTGAGTTTGTTCTCTTTCGTTCCTTCGGTGAATTCGGAGTGCCTGCTGCCCGTGGTGGGGGCAGTGGACCGCCTCGAGAGGGGGGTTTCGTATCCCCTAGCCTTAACCCCCAACCCATCCCCGTACCCCCTACTAAAATCAAGCTTACTGTAGTAATCTCGCGTATGCATAGGATACTGCACCCAGCTTGTCATGCCCACTCTTGACGCCGTTAAAACTTGGGAATGACAAATCGGGTGGGTATACGGCGTAAGGACGGACGCTGGCGGCCTCGCTCGCCACGGGCAGGAGACTCTCGGGTGTTATATTTTTGTGACCGTTCACAAGACATTGGTTGGTGATGGCAGCGCCTACATTCACACACAGCAGCGTTGGCACGGCGGTTGTTGTCCGCTGACGGGGGTTGTGCAACCACGGCGGATCCACGCTGTTCGGCAATGCAATGTTGTAGCAACAATAATAAGCGTCTCCTTTTTGAGGCACACGCAGATTGAGGCATGTTTTTTCTCTTTGTGCGTGCGGCACTTTGCAGCCCGTTACCCGCCCATCGCTCAGGCCGTGACAAAACACAAAGAAGCAGCTCCACGCTTCCGCGCCGAAGCACACCTTATGGACACACTCACGTTGGCCCTGAACGGCACCGACCCCCTTTTCTCCCTCTCTTTGTGTTGTCTCCCTCACTCTCTGTCACTCTCTCTCTCGCTCGCTCGTTCTCTTCTTAAACACTCTCAAACACAACCAGGACTACTTCGCGCGGCTGCCCAAGCTCCGGCTGTCGGAGTTCACCCCGGTGTCGCTGCGCGTCTACGGCGACTTCGCAACCGAGGCGGGCACGTACACGTTCAAGTGGCAGGGGGAAGACGGGGTGCCCAAGGAGAAGCGGGCTCGCTTCAGCTTCACCTTCAGGAGCGACCCGGAGAGTCCTACGTCGTGGACTATCGTGGAGCACCACTCTTCCTCGATGCCTACGTCGCCGTTGCAGCTGAAGCACGTCAGATAGTGGGAGTTGGTGGCGGTGTCTTGGGTTCTAGAAGAGCGAGAGAGCTTTGGTTAGAATCCTTTTGTGGCGTTGGGAAATTGGCCGCGCTGTTCGAGTCTATAGAGTTGATTCTGCTGTCGAGAGAGAAAGGCGTTATGCCAGGGATGGACAGACGGAAAAGATTATGGTCAAACTAGGTAGAGAGAAAGGGGAGGTTGTTTCGTTGCATGGACACCACGCCGGCGTTCGGCGGTTGTCTATTGGTGTACTCTCTTGCGGCCGGGGTGCTGCTTGTCTTCCTGGACGAGGAAATGCCACCGCAGCAGCGCCCGAAATCGTTCCTGGAATTCTTTCCCGGAGTATTTTGTGGGATTATTCTCGCAAAATCAAGTGGGATCACGAGACTACATAGTTTACTTTCGATAGGCTTACCGGTGGGATATACTTCAGCCGTCAAGCATACGTGTACATATGCACATGGGCTATTTTTTATAGATCTGACCACCTCGCGATTTCGCTTGTTTAGTACTACTGTATCACGCCTTGTCGTCCCGACAGTTTTGATCTGAGTTGTTTTTGCAAAGAAGGGAAAGGGAGCTACCAAATCACCAGAGGAGGAGCTTGTTGTGGTTGGGTGTTGGTTGCCGTGGCTGGAACTGGATGTCTCGCTGAAATCAGCTACATCCGCCAAGGGTCATGTCGTTCAAGGTCAAAACCAGCGATTTTTATGTTTTAGAGCTTGTAGGGGATGATGACCCTTTCGAGCAAGAGGTCAATGGCTGTGGCGTAATAAGCTGCTTGCGCCGAGGGGAAGAGGGAAGGAAGGAGGGTTGGTTGGGTGCAATCAGCAAAATATTTTGTGAAATGTTTTTTTTTTGTTTTGAGCTTGGGATAAAGTTCGCAATTTTGGTCAGCTAGGCAAGGGGAGTGTGGTACGAAGGAAAAGGTAGGAGGTGGGGTGGTGACGACAATATTTGTACCGCAGTTGTTGCGTACTCTTTGTTGTTGTTGAGGTGTGATTTGGCCAATTATTAAGCACCCATTTTACGTGGAGAGAGAAATATAAACGTTGTGGTTGCACTGATGATCTGCTGCCCGATGTTTATGCTCCTGCACGGGTGCATAATAAAGATTCTTTCGATGCGCATTTTATCAAGAACCCACGCAAAATCTGCGGAACGCTTTTTCACTGCCGATGTCAATGTCGAGGCAGGCGCGTAAAGAAGTGCGGTGTGCATATAAAAGTTGCCGAGCGCCGCCGTCTTTTGAGGTCAAGGACAATCTTGCAGTCGATGAAAGAAGCGAGCTTGAAATCTCGAAATTGTCATTTCCTCTTGCGGGGTACCCGAACAACAGCGACCACATTGCTTGAAGTAGTAGCCATTAGTGTGTGTGTAGTGTGTGTAGGCTTCTCGGCTGAGTACATATTCGCCAAGTTCTTCAATAAATATATGTTTCCTTTTTCAGCCTGAATTTTCGTCACTGCCAGGTCAGGCGCGAACGTCAACTAACTGCTCACGCTGTTTATTGAAAGTAAACATAATCTCACAGAAAGACTAAGCGTTCGAGATGTAAACCTGTTTGTTCGTGCGGCAAGATAAACACCTAACACGCTCTTCTACTGAAGCAACATCGAGGTCGTATGTCCTACTACAACATGTAGACTATCTATGCTGTATCTATCTACATTCTGCTTGAAATCTTGTGCTGTTGTTGTTTCACTTTTTTTCTTCACACCTGAAGTTGCCTGAAGAGAAAAGACTGACAGACACCGCCCATCCGTCAATCAACCTGGATGAAGGAGACCCCAATTGGTCTTTTACGCAATATATTTTTGTTGCTCCACTATCTACAGACTTCGTACTCTTGAAGTACACAGCTGCTGCTGCTGCCGCTGCTGCTAGCAGCTGCAGTACCAACCAAATTGTCCTACCGCAGCAAACTCTCAAAATGACACGAAACAACAAAATTCGTCGTCAAACGTTTTGTACGCGTTCCCGGCACCATATTTTGTCTTCTCACGGCAAAAAAAAGGAACTAACAGCAGCGCCAAAAGCGCAAACCTATGCATATGCATAGGATGCGTTAATCTTACTATCCGTTGGAGAGGCGGTCGAACCGTCGGGTGGAATACCCACCTCTGCACCGTTTCCCGCCCTATCGCCAAGCACATGTCGTAACTTGATTGGGCGAAAACGTCCGGCTTGACCAATCACCGGCCGTCCTGAACCCCCCCTCTTTAAGGAAGACATACTTTATTTTTCCGGGCTGTTTTTGTTTTTTCGCGACGAGACGAGGTGAAACACATCACGCACATCACACACCGCGTTGCGGGCTGGTACGTGTTCTTGTGAAACTACTACTACTGCTGTGCAGCAGTAGCAGCAGCAGACTGGGGATCACACCCACGATGTTGGACGAGAGAGACCACGAGATCGGCGGCAGCCACGGCGGCGGTGCCGACCAAGGCATGGGGGCGACGGTCCTGTCCCTGGCGCAAGGGCTGGGCCTAGAGTTCGTTCCCCTCTCCGCCCTCCTCTTCCTCGACGCCCGGGACATCGGGGCCTGCGGCGCCGCCAACCGCTTCCTGCACAAGGCGGCGGGCGACGAGGGGGTGTGGAGGGCGGCCCGGGACCGGCTGTGGGAGGGGAAGGTCTTCGTGCCGGAGAGCTCGCGCGCGATGCGGGCAAAGGAGGGCTACATCGCCAGCCTGCGGGACTCGAAGCGGACCTGGCTTCACGCGGAGGAGCTCACCTCCTTCTCCTGGTGGTTTCGCTTCAAGCAGCAGGCCGGGGAGGCTTGGACCGCGCAGGACCCTTGGTACCGCAACGAAAAGGTGAGCGGGAGAGGAAAGACCGGGAGGGGTCTACCCCAACGAAGCGCGTGCGCGGCAGGGAACACGGTTTTTTTTTGCACGTCAACATGATGATGACTCTACTGCTGATGTGTTTGTATCGACGTATCGACGATGCGTTTGTATGCGTTCAGCAGCAGTTGCGAAAATGACCTGTGGGTGAAAAATTCTGTTCTTCGGCACGTCTCTTCGCCCTCGCCCTCGTGCGCTATTGTATTAATTTAGTATAGGTGTAGCTCCTTTCCTCTATTTGCGAGAGCAAGGCGGGCATTCCTCTGGCGTCAAGAAAGCTGTGTGCGGTTCCGAGTGGGTTGTGAGCAAGTTGACCGAAATCTGCTGTGTGCTCGGGTAGACACGGAGAGTGATTTTCGACTTTTCTCCCGTATCCCACAATGTGAAGACATCAACAATCCCGCGGGCAGCTCCCATTTGTACTTGACAATTTCCAAGTGTAGGTATGGACGGAAGCAAGAACACCGCCGTGTGTGTGTGTCGTGTGCGATTGATTGATGTACGCTACGGCCCTGCAGAGGGAGAGTCGCCTCGAGTTGCTGCCTGATTCCCACCCTCGTCTGCTACCCACGGCGGTTGGGCATGTGTTCCACAGAGCAGTAACAGTAAAAAGCCGGTCTGGTTACATATCACAGCCAAGTCGTGGTCCCGGTATAGCGGTCCCCTATTTGGCGGGATGCCCTGAATAAACATGTAGCGGTTCCGAAGTCTCGTGGCACCGCTGCACCTCGGTAGCCTCCGTATATAACTGTCAATCCGGTTTAGCGGCGATGCCCTCAATAGGTTTTGTAACATTTAATTTTGTGACACTACAGGACCGCTACACCGGGACCACGGCTGTATATTATACCGACATTGGAATTATAGCAGTTAATAGGAAGCTGACGGCGACCCGGTGCTTGACTTGTTGTTGAGCAAGCACATGATTTTTCCCCTATGGTTGAAGGGTCGTGCGTACAGCAGACGATGCTCCTTTTTTATTTTTTCCTTACAAGCAGTTGCGCGCTGTAGACTGCTGTGTGTGGGTTTTCATAGATGACCCGCCATCTTCATCCGTATTATCGTTCCATCAGACCACTCTCACAGGATTTTTTTTTTGTGCATCCGAGAGCGGACCCACACAGCAGAGGGGCAAGTTACCTACACCCCTTTTCCTCCAAATGAAAGCAAATGAAAGGCAGAAGGATGTGGATACGTACTTGTACGCGCCTCGTATGCCATGTACGCACAGCGGTTCTACAGACCCGGTCTCGCGCTGTGCGGTTTGCTGTTAATAGGAATAAAAAAAAAACACACAGAAACTACCCAATCTGTTATGTTCGTTCGACGTCTGCATCATTGGAACGGCGGGTGATGTAGATGTTCTTTGTTTGTGGTCCTCAGCTACACAATATACCCTCCGAACTATGGTCGTTCTGGCATTCACGAGTCTGTCTGTGTCCTCCGTGGCATTATCGATGCATTTGCAGCACTATTACTATGTGCCACACACCAGATGCACACACATCACAGCAGCAGTAGCAGCAGCGCAGCAGCAGACGGTCGAACTTCAAACTTTTTAGGGGGTGCGGCGCCACCAGTTTCTATGCAGCTGTATCGCACGCCTCTTGAAACATACAGCAGTGCCCAGTAGCCGCAGAGGCGGAAATGGTGGAGACTCGGAGACAAACCGGACGATGAGCGGACCATGTGATATCTTAGTGCTTGGAGACAACTTGTTGGAGACCCTGAAAAAAACACTTGCTGCAGCGATTATAGGGCGTTGAAATACAGGAGAGATATTTGTGCCTGCTGGCATCTCTAGTCCTTCAAGTACTGTAGGAGACTCCAAAATTCGCCCTGTCAAAATAAATATCAGCCAGGTCATTCTCTCCTCTCCCTGCTGTACATGCGCTGTACAGACTTTTAACACATTCCTTCGAGTGAGGTATTTATTTGAACGGTTGTGTGGTTTGTCGTGTTTTACTTTCTTGAAATAGATACCATATAAAAAGATAAAAAGAGGTCTCGTGTGAGTGAGTGAGGTTTTCACCGGATTTCAGGGTAGTTTCTACGGTCTGTCGGTGACTCTTCTCATCTACGGGCTTTTGCTCCCTCTGATTGGTCGAGCGTTGTAAATAGACCTGCCGGATTTGCGCACCCAGACTTGGCACCCAGATCCACAGACCAAAAGAGTTAGCCCGGAAAAACTCCGCACAACTCTCGGCGAAAACAGTGTGGTGTTTTCTACCCGTTCAACCAGACCTGGAGATGAAGTTGACTGCGTGGCACAAAAAGAAATAAAAAAGCGTCGTGTGCTGCTCGGGAAACCGTAGAAGTACAGGTAGTCTCCGCTGACGCTATGAATTCATTGCTACACTATCATGGACTCTGTCTGGGATAGAGATGGAATCGTTGTGTCATATTAAGAAGAAAAAAAAATCAAACCTGTGTTTTGGTGGGGGTAAGGGTTAGGGTTGCACCAGTGAGCCAGCCAGTAGCGCGGGCCGGGGACCCACCCTACCGCCACGGTGGGGCAAAACCACTGGAGAGCGGTGGCGCGTGCTGCCGTGGCGTCCTTGCGGCGCAGGTGACTGCTGGTACTGCTGTTGATTGTCGCTGCTGTTAGTCAGCCAACATGGTATGGAAATAAGCACGAGGAGGGCGTCTTCGTGTTGGCGGGTTTGGCTGTGCCGTGGTGTGTGGTGTGCGAGTTTAGCGTATTACTCTATTAGTCTCGTGTTGTGTGGCAATGTGGCGAGAGAGAAACAACCTGTAGTCTTGCGAAGTTTTTGCCATGTTATTGTACCGTCGAGTAGACCAAGTTTTGGGAAATCTGTGTTTCGGATCGCCCCAGCTCTGGGCGTGTGCAGGTGGTGAGTGTTTTTTCGCACATGAAGCAATGTACGTCCGCCATCCGACCCAGAATGGAATCTTCCCGGTCCCCATCTGGAAAATAATCGAACTTGAAGAGGCCTTGTCTTCTTGTGGCCAGTTCACCGAATCAAACCGAGGGTCCGGTGGCATGTTTCCGGACTAATATATGTAGCTCTTTTTTGGTCTGGGTGCAGTGCAAAAGTCCGGGTGTGCCAATCGGCTGAAGACCGGGCCTAACCCCACGCGGCTGATACGTCCATTATTTTTTTTTACTCTCACCGAAAAGTGGCGCCAGGATAGATAGTTGGGACGAACCCAACACACGCATGGCGTTTAGGAGTGTCTGTTCGGACTAAGTCTCATTGGTCAGTTTTAGAACCAACGCGCGACCAATCAGACGGCGTAAATAGCGTAGTCCTAAAAAACCGCCTGAATATGTAAGCACCACTGCTGTGGTAGCGGGGTCGATGTTCATACTATAATAAAGACACGAGCACGAAACGGAGGTGTCGTCCAACTCCTGCGTCCCCCCTGTCGATTTGTGAAAGGCACGTTTTTGCGTTTTTTACCCCGGCACGATGTAGACTGACGTTTGTTTGATCGGCAACCGGTTGGCGCGGTCGATGCCAATTGAAGAAGCACACACTCACCGGGAGGGAAACGGAATGGCTGAATTATCCCGCAATGAATGAATGAAGGCAGCACGGCACATAGGGGAAGAAAGATGATTTAATCCCCTACAGATATGGTACGGGGGTACGGAGGTCTATTTTCGGTTGACGGTTTGTCGACCGCCCGAACCAACGCTCGGCCAATCAGAGGGCACAAAAGGTCGTAGTGTGTATGTGCGTGTGTGTGTTTTTTATTATTAGCATCGACCGCGCTATTGTGTGTGTGTGTGCTCGTCCCATTTATTCTGGCGCCAGTCTACACGCCTTTCGGTGTAGAGACATGCGTTTGACGTACGATATCAGCCGGGGAGAGAACCGGAGGAAGGTCGTTTAGGATTTTAGAATGCCGCCCGCGCACCGACCAACTCTCTTTTTCCACGTGTGCTTTTCTTCAACCGTTTGTACGTTGTTTTTTCAGGCGCCGAAGGTGGACTTCAAGCTCGACCACACGGTTCTGCGTCACGGCGACATGTCGCTGCCCCCCGCGGTGAGTGCAAGCTAAGCTCTGTGCATGCCGGTTTTGGCTCCTTTGCTCTGGCGCTGTGTACTGGTGTGTGCTTTGGTGTGCAGAGGACGAGAGTGCTTTCCAAGGCGTGGAGAAGAACGAGGATGACGATGGCGGGGGTGGATGTTTTGCCGCCAAGGTTTGGGAGGACATGGCTTGCTTGAAGTTTGCGCTGGCTCCCCCCCAGGCGTGGAGTCCTTGCGCGCTCGAAACGGGGTGCTGTGTTTGACGGCGTTTGGGTTCCGTGCTCATCCGCATACGGCACGTTATTCTGGGGGCCCCGCGGGGAGGGAGGGGGGGCGGCGATATACCGGTGCTTCAAAGCGAGCGTAGTTTCTTATCGCGCACGTTTCTTCTGTATGACTGGGACGAAGATCCATTTTTCTCAGGGAAGTCGCGTCAGCATCCTCTCTGGAAAACGAGACACGGCATATGGTTGCGCCGCCGGTTGTCGTCAGGACAACGCCTATTTTAGTCCGCGATATCAGCAGCCGTGCCCCTTACCACCTTGCCTGTTCCTCTTGCTGTGTCACCCGACGCTCGATTGAGTACCGTCTGCCTTGCCTGTTTTTGTTGTTGTTCGGCCGCTTTCTCTTGTCCGTACTGCAGGCCAACATTAGCTGGCGGTTCGTGGGAAGAACGGGAAGGAGAACAGGTCCGACCGGGTCTTTCCTCCGCGTAAGGTGAGACAACCAGAACCTTGTTTTTTGAGCATTTGAGCGTTTGGGCGCCCATCCCGGCTCACACACGCTCTATCCTCTCTACGGTACGTCTGTGGTATATGATGGTAAGTGTTTTGCCTTGGGGCACGAATGGTCTTCTTGTATTCCTCCCACTGAATCCATCGCTGGAAGCGCTATGTGGTGCGGCGAGGGATAGGAGGGCCGTGCGGCTGCCGAACGCTCGCAGAGTGCTCCTCGTCTTTTCGGTCATGCGCGAGGACCGCTGTTCCTTCTCCCTTCAAGGATGAAAAAGCGCACGAGATAACGCAATGCCCCTCCCTGTCGCGTTTCGTGTCATGTCCCATTGACGCGTTGGGCGATGGGCCGCAAACTCAACTCTCGGCTTGTTTGTGGAAAACAAGAAACACTCCAAGCTCCAGCCCCCCCCCCACCCCCCCCTCCGCACGCCAAACCATTCGAAAAACAATGCCAGCATTGGAGGGCGGGAAGTGCCGACGTACATCGTGTCTCGCCATCGGTCTAACTGGGGATTCCTGCTGGAGAGCTGCTGGACGGTGTACACGAGCTGGGAGATGCCCCCCCGCGAAGGGCCCGACTGTGACCAGTCGCTGTTGGACGACAAGCTCACGGTCACCATGGATGATCAGTGGGAAGAGGTGCGTGCGTGCGCTCGTTCGTGGTTTGGCGGCGGTGTGTCTGCGTGTGTTCGTTTGCATCGACCGCGCTAACCGACTTACCAATGAAAAGACGTCAGTCTCAGTGCGACTGAGAATAGAAAATGGTTTTATATTTTGTAGGCTCATAGTCTGTGGCCCCGTGAGGTGGCGTGATGTGTGTGTGTCGTTAATAAAGCAGCATCGACAGCAACTGCGTGTACCCTGCAAGCCAGCGACGCGACTTGAGCCTCTTTGCGGGGTGAAAGGAGTCGGCGGAATAGGGGGCGGGGGCGGGGAGGGGGGGATCCTCGTATTTCCTGTACGGGGCCCCAGTGAGTTCGCGGAGGGATACGCGCGTCGGCCTTGTCGGCCTTGACCCTTGGACACAACTCGTTTGCTCAAAATTCCCGGGAGGACGAATTTCCCGCCACCGAAATAAAAACCATATCTCAAGCCGCTCTCATCTCGCTCTCGTCGTCTGTTGATTGCTGTCCTTCGCAGGCCATGTCGTTCAACACCGGCCTGTCTTTCGAGATCTACGACCTCGAGGCGGCACCGAACAACGGCAACGCTAACGCTAACGATGCCGGCGGCGGTGACGGCGGCGCGGCCGAACCGGTTGAGATGGAGGACATGGTCGTCGACCAGCCCCCCGCGCAAGCTCCCTTGCCGGCGGCGCATGAGAACTCGCAGCAGCAGCAGCAGCAGCAGCAGCAGGAGCAGGAGCAGGAGCAGGCGCAACCGGAGGAGGGGGGTGGGGCAGAAGCAGGGGAGGCAGGAGGCAAGGTGGGAGGCGGCGGTGCGGCAGCATTTCCACCGGGAGGGGGAGGGGGTAGCAGCAGCAGCAGTACCCACGGAAAGCGTGCGGCTGCTAGCAAGGACAAGGCGAGGAGTGGCGGCGGTGGCGGTAGCGGAGGAGGAGGGCCGTGAGGCGATGCAAGCGAGAGGCAATAGCTCGTAAGGGAGAGAGGGGGCGTGCCCACCGCCGGCGCCGCTTCTGGGATGTGTTGGGATGGGCGGCGGTGGATGGACGCAACCTGAAGGGAAGTCAAAGCGGATGCCACGAGCGAGAGAGGGCGGCGGGGAGGGGGGGTTACAAGGTCGTGGCGTCCATCGTGTTCGAGACTGTCTGCTGCTTCTTTTTGTGGGTACTACCGTTTTCGCAACCGCACGAGCCGCGTCGTGGTATACTTCAAGAAGGAATCCCGAGGGCAGGGCGAATGCACTTAAGGGCATGGATGAATTTGGAGGAAGGAGTGAGACGGCGGTTTCACGGGCGTGGCGCTCAACGGTTGTGCTGTGGAGCTGGAACGGGGAAAGAGGTGGATTTTTGGAGCCTTTGGAGCAGATTCAAGGGGCCCCCGAGGACGGCGGCGGTTTCTGGCGGGGGGGGGGGGGGGAGAGCGGTCGACGGGAACAGAGGACAACGGCGGGTTGCCCGAATAACGCGAAGAAAGCTCGTATGGTTGCAGGGCAGGGCGGATATATTGAAAACATGAGCGGCGTTTCGAACAGGGTCTGGTGGAGGGTATGCCCGGTTCGGAGCCTCATCTTGCTCGTCTCTGTCGGGACGTTTGCCTGCATCCTGCACGACACCAAATTGTTGCGGTTGTTGCGTGTTAACAGAGTTGCTACAATATCGTGCGGCGGCTTTGGGGCGGTCGGAACAAAGCTTGCGTTTCCCGCGTCCTCGCGCTCTATCAAGCCGAAAAGGACGCCGCTTCGGAGTACAGCGGTTCACCTGGGGGTGACCGTACGTGGGCATGTTGGTGGTGTTTTTTATGGACGGGGATCCGGGTTGCGTTCTCTTGGCCAAGGGCGGAGTGTGTCCAGGTCCCGCCGCTTTTTACTCTTGCATTGTGTAATTGACCGAATCCCGTGGGTGCGGTCGAAAAGGCGTTGGGAGTGGGCGCTCCCGTCGTTTCTGTATCAAGCACGTGGGGGGGCCGTGGGGGGTGGGGGGGGGGGGTACTCATAGTCGTGCATGCCGTAATCGTTAAACCATTGACCTCGCGGTGTGGGGGGGGGGAAGGGGATTCGGTGCTGGCCAGATGAGCACGACTCCCATGTCGTCCTTCGTTGTCGCATGGAAAGGCATGGTCGGTGTTGGCACACGCCCAGTGGTGGTGGCAGCAGTGCGTTCTTGGAGTGTGTTGTCCGCCCCACAGAAACTGCGCGTGTCGCTGTTGCACGCGGCCGCTCTTGTTTTACTTGTTGCTTGGCGGAAAAGAATCTACGTAGATATTTATAGACTTTTAGACTTCTGGCTGGCTTTTTTTGTCGTTGTATGCTTTCGTTACCGGGAGCTATTTTTGTATGCAAGTGTGCTACTGCGCGAAACGATGGTATTCACCCAACCCAAAGAAAACACGTGTGTGTCCTGTATGTTGAGTGAACGTAACTGCGCGGCGGATGGCGCGCGCTCGAGGTAAGATAGACAGACAGACAGACAGACAGACAGACAGAGAGAGAGAGAGAGAGAGAGAGAGAGAGAGAGAGAGAGAGAGAGAGATGGAGAGAACGCATGTGGGATTCACGTGTGTGTTTGCTGACGACTTGGATATTTTCGTGTCCAAATTGAAGTGGGGGGCGAGACGCAGGGCGTTACTTCGGTTTGTTGTTTGTTTGCCCCCTACGTGGAAGTTACAAACTCATCAAGAGGGCAGCGTCTATGCTTCTCCCCACACACACACCCTGCATGCCCCTCTAGGGTTTTGCGCACGTTGTGCGGTAGAAGCTCTCGAGGCGGCAGTATTGCCTGTTAACCAATCACAAAACTGCGGGCAACTTTTTTCGATGATGTTGCGTTGATGAAAAGAAACGATGCAGCTGTTGCGGCGCCACCCCATAAGTGTAGGAGCGGCGGTGACTAATAAAAAGTTTGTTTGTGCATATATATGTAGGTGGCAAGTCACTGCCACTACTGTGTAGTGAGTTCTGAAGCGTGGCCATCGATTCCTACTTTTTATTGTGTGTTTGTTTCGATCGATGCCTTCTTTTCGTGGTGTGTCAGAGCTGAGACAGACACGCTACATGCATCCTACGCACGAAGAGACATTTTGGGAAAAAGTAAGTGTTTCGTGTTTGGTGGGTGGTGTGGTCGTGAAGTGTTTTGAACTTTTCGGCCGACCCGGGATCTGTGTTCCGAAATATTGGCGGCTTCTCCTGGTTGGCACCTTATCTATCTGCTTACGGTGGGGGTGAGAGCCTGGAATGCAGCGAAATAAAAGATGAGCACGGGTTGCGGCAATCGGTGTGCAAAGCTATCCGCTAGGCGTTCACTGTTTTTTTTTGTGCTTTACGCTGTACAGCTTTTGAGGGTCTGTTAAAACTTCAGAAGGCGACACCCGAAGCAAGCTCGGTTTTTGTTTCCTTGGCCAAGGGCGGCCAACCATCAAGCTTTTCATAGGGGACTCGAAACCGAGCACCTGTTGTTCTCATTGGGTCTGGATCTGTTTGAGCCTGTTCTTAAGTCTGTTCAAGTTCCTGAGTTTGGAACTGTTTGAGCCTGTTCAGTCGAGTTCTTAAGTTTGGATCTATTTGAGCTTTTGATGTTCTGGTGGAAGTCGTTGAAGGGTGGGTGGTTCTGTTTGAGCCTGTTCTCATGGTCAATCGTTACGTTTGTAACTCCCACACTCTTCTCAAGTGGTGACGCGTCCAATGTGCGACAGCGAAAACGACTCAGCGGCGAAAGGCCTCGTTGCGTACATAGCCTACGGCAAAGCAGTCCGCGAACTCATGCTGCAGCGTAACAGACAATCCCGGCACCTTTTCAAGGAAGAAGGGGCAGAAGAAACAAGAAAGAAAGGTGGCACATCGTTTCTTATTTATTGGGCAGCGCTAGGTTCGCCGCACCGTGTAGCTGCCTCCCTCTCTCTCCCATGGAAGCCTACTATACGATTGCGACCCATTCATGTGCGACGGGTTGTTTCTGTGTTGTCGTCATTTTCTTAAACTTCGCCTATTAATAATATAGCTAGCCTAAAGGATACTTCAAAGTACACGGTTGTTTCCGACCCTCCCTACGGTGGGTCTCTTGTGACCCATGTGTATTCCCCGATACTTTCGCTTGCTGTCCGTCCCGTTTGCGCCACACAACAAAAGCTGGAGCAATCGTGAGGAAACAAGCACAAACAAGCAGCTGTTATGGTATTTGGAGGTAGACATGTGATAGTGGTTGATCATGGTTATTTGGCGCCGTCGGATGCTATGACGTGACGTCATGCTAGATCAGGGCTTTAAGCCGAGACATGTGCCCTTCTGTTCAGTGTGTGCGTACAGGCGATCTATGATGATCATCGCGTGTGCGTGGGATATTGTGAGTTGGCTTGGAAAGCGTTAATCAAGAGAAAGAGAACAACGGAAAGCAACAACAACCTGCTACTGCTGTGGTCAGACAAGAGAGTTCCACACAGCTACAGCTCAAAGGTGATTGATTCTGAAGGAAGGGGTCAAATACCATTACACTGGCGTTGTTGGTTTTGGTCGTGTTGCTTGATTCTTGCGTTCAATTGATTTTGATTTTTTTCGCTTTTTTGCAGTCTGCTGAATAGCGGCAGGGCAACAGCCTTGGCCCTGCTTCAGCATGTCGGCTCCTGATGAGCCGCGAGGTGGCAGCGACTCTGCTGTTTCGACCCCGGTCCCTTTGTCGCCGCACAACACTCCTGATGATGATGATTCGCATGCTTCGCGTAGCTCGCTCCGTGTTGATTAAGGATTCGCCGAATGCCTTCTTGCATGTTCGCGGTCGGACTTTTCAACAGCAGCAGCAGCAGCCACGATCGCGATCGCAGTTCGGACGCACGTTAGCAAACGTAGACTCTCAGGAAGATGATGTGGCACGATCGCACACTGAAGGCCTTGGTCGCGCGCCGCGCTCCAGGTCTGTGCCCTCTCGTGATTCAGCTCGCCACTGGTCATCAGATGTGGCACACCGCCTTGAGACACCTGCAGAAATGCAGATGCGCTCGGTGGTTCAACGCGCACACTCACACCCCGAATCCATATCCGAACACAGCAATGTGCCGGAATTGGATGGTGAAGGCTCTCGCTCTCCGAGTTTGATTGAAGCCTCACGCACGCACACGAATGAAGCTCACAGCTCCATTGTGCGCGTGTCGGACGCCCCCAGTGGCGCGGTCGAGTCTAGTACTCCTGCGCCTGGTAGCCCAGCAGTCGCTGTCGGCATGTTTGAACCTCAGAGTTTGAATTATTCCGACGCCAGCCCGGCTGTAGCCCATTCCGAGCGCGGATATGTGCCGAA